AATGGGACCAGAATTTGTCGTTAGTGCATGATCTGGCATTTTGGAGCCCATTCGCTATGGAGGGATACCTTGCTCAACCTCAATATAGGAGAGAGGGGCTTGGTCCTGCCTCAATTTGATATACCAGACTTTGTTGACTCCCCATGGGAAACCTTACCCTTTCTGAGGAGTGGATGGGGGCTTGGGAAGAGGAAGAGTAGGAGGAGGGAAGGGAAAATGTGGTTGGTATATAAAATGAAAAAAAAAGTTTAAATAAAAAAAATCCTTCACAGGGATTTTAGTCAATTTCAGATGTAGTCCACAGGAGTAGCTTACTGGATGGGTCAGTGAGTAGAGCTGCTTATGCACAGGCCTATTTATCTGGATCCCACAAGGTGGCAGGAGAGAACTACTTGAGTGTTGTCCTCTGACCCCTGTAAGCTGGCCTCTGTTGGTGTCCTCTTATGTGTCCTTACCTTCCATTACCCTTGATTTTTGCTTGTTCTGGCCCTTCCTAACACATTGTCTCCTCCTACTAAGTAATTAAAAATAAAGAAAATACATAACAATTGTTTATTTTTTGTTTGTTTGTTTTTTGACTCAGGGCCTCCCTGTGTAGTCCTGCTGGCTTAGAACTTATTATTGTTAACCAGCTGTCTTTGAACTTACAGAGTCCCCCTGCCTCTGCCTTTGGAGTGTTGGGATTAAAGTAGTGCACTACCATGCCCAGCTCACAACTGGATATTTTTTCAAGAAAGTGTCTTTGTTGAATTTTAGATTATTTTGTGGTTAGCACTTGGTTTGTGTGATTTTGATCCTTTAAAATTCACTGGAACTTATTTATGGCCTGGAATATCAGCTGTGTTTGTGAATGTTTCCTGTGTCCTTTCAAAGGCATTGAGTTGCCCATAGTTCTTTCTCCAGAGATGGATTTCAATGGATTTCCTTTCTTTGGGTTAGCATGCCTATTCATTATATCATTGTCAGGTCTTGTTTTGGAGCCATACTGTTGAGGTATTGTGGACAAAGCTCTTCTGTCATTCTAGGAGACATAATGTCACAGCGGTCTTTCTGGTTCTCTGGTTTTTAGGATCTTTTTACCCCTTTTCCTGGACATTCCCTGAACCTTAGGTAAGGAGTTGTGTTGTAGTTCTCTCTATTAATCCTGGGCTCCACATGATGTGTTGATCTTTGCATTACAGCCAATTGTGGGGTTCTGTAAGGAGCAGCTTCTTTGAGGATGGGCGAGAGCTACACTTTTCTGTGGGTTAGGAGGTTTAGAATTTGCTTGGGAATAATTCTGCTCTAGTAAGGCTGTGGTAATAGGTTCTCTTCTAGGGTCTGTGACTCCAGTAGCCCCAAGTAGTTGGCTAAGTTTCCAGTGACTGCTGAGAGAGGAGAGTTAGTATTTCTCAAGATGAGCCCTTAATTGGCTATCCAATACAAAGTGGTTAGCCTTGAAATCCTGTACACACAAGTCATACTAAGTGGCTCAGCAATATATACATATATATGTACATGAATGAGTGAAACAGGTATGGGGAGTGAGAATTGAGATGGAAAGGCTTAGAGGGAGGGGACATAGGAGTGGTTGGAGGGAGAATAGGGAACGGTACAAGTGATGTAATTATATTGTAATTTTAATTTAATCAAAATAAATAATGAATACTTGAAGCATAAAAAGATGTTAAAGGGCTATTTTTTGGGTTATGTTAATGTAAATTAGGTTGAATTGATATTTAAGTCTTTTATGCCTTTCTCTGTTTTCTGTGCTATTGCTCTATTCATTAGTATGAAGAGGTATTGAAACCTCCAGCTCTAATTATGGATTTTTTTCTAGTTGTTTTAGTTCTTTCTGGTTCTCTTCAGCATTTTTACTTGGTACAGATACATTTGAGATTGCTACACTTTCTGAAGAATTACCCTTCTACACTATGACACACATGTCTCTAATTCTCTTTCGTGTTCGCTTTTTTATCTCCTTGAAGTATACCTTCTAATAGTAATATGATAGCTACTGATTAAATTTTAATTAGTGTTTATATGTTAGTGCTTGTAGTCCCTTTGATTTTAATTTTCTCTGTCTTTATGTGTAGCTATCATATGAATAACTCTGGAGTTTTTGTGAAATTGCTTTTTATTTGGGGTGTTTAGGCCACTTATTTATATTTTTATAATTGCATATTGTCTAGATGCTTGTACTGGTTTGAGCCATTTGTACAGTCTGTTCTTCATTAACTGTGCATATTGTTATTTGTATTGTACTAGTTTGAGCTGTTCGTTCTTCATTCTGCTTGTACTTTTTTCCCTGCTTTCACTTGATTAGTTCCTTTTTCTATTAAAAGAGTTTTAAAGCATACATACACTTTTAAAGCAATTTTAGGATTATAAAAATTAAGGAACACTTTAGTCAAGGTTTTCCAGAGAAGCCAAATCAGTAGAATTTTATACCCACAGAGCTATGCATCACTTAAGACCAGGAAATTTGTTGTTAAGCAGTTTCATGGTTGTGTGAACATCAAAATGTACATAAACAAATCTATGTGGTATAGCCCATTCCATATGTATTGTTTACGGTATGTACTGTTATATATGGTGTCTGTGTTTGAGGTGATACAATAAAATGATGATTCAATATGTATGTGTACATATATGTCCATATAGGGAGACTGAGATGGGGAGAGAGAAACAGAATGAGAGAGTATAGGGCACTATAGTAGTTTGAAATTCAGGTAAAAGTTGATAGACTCATGAATCTGAGTTCACAAGAAAGCTTTCAATTTATTGGATATAGTTAGCTTGTGCTATTGATCCCAAGTTTCAGAATTAAAAGGATGCATCTACCCAGGCAGTGGTAGCACATGCTTTTAATCCCAGCACTTTAATCCCAGGCAGAGGTAGGCAGATCATTGTGAGATCAAGGCCAGCCTGATGTACAGATTAAGTTTCAGGACAGCCAGAGCTGTTACACAGAGAAACCATGTAATGAAACACCAAAAGAAAAAAGAAAGAGACATGTCTAAAAAATACTTTTATGGTGATGTCTAGAATAGTGTTTGTTCAAACAGCTGGGCATCATAAATTGACACATAAAATTAATTCTCATAAACCGATAATAGAGTTACCATGTATAACATCTCTCAGGGACACGGTTTTCCATATTATTAGTGTCTGGCATCGCTTTTCACATTTGTAAAAATTATGTATCAATAGTCATACATTGTTAGAATTCATTACATTAGAGATGTTTATTTTTTAATTAATTAATTTATTGTTATTTTTTTCTGTAGATGAATTCTTGGGCCTTTTGAATGCTAGGCAAATGTCTTACCATTGTGCTGTATATCTAGCCATAAGGGGTTTTTCACAACTTTTATTGGTTATATTGCAGTCTGGGTTGGCCTTGAACTTATGATCCCCATGCCTCAAACTTCTGAGGCAGTATGCCCAGGTCATTAAATACTTTGTTGTCAAAATATTTTGGTGTTGGAGCAGGGAAAATACAAGATAAGCATGGTGTGCCTCAACAATAAGAAAGGAAGATCTCAAAACTGAGAAGATGAAATTATGTCAAAGTAGCATAGGAGACAGCCAAAAGTATATACTATTTAAGAAACAAAATAAATGTTGTAGTGTTAGATTGTTACTTAGAGTATATAATGAACATCCATAGATCATTTGATAGTAACAAATGCTGGAGTAGTTGTGAAAAGGGAGAAAATGAGGTCTACTTTCATGCAGAAGGATGAGCAGTGATGGGCTCCAGGGCAGAAGGATGAGCAGTGATGGGCTCCAGCGCAGAAGGATGAGCAGTGATGTGTGCCAGTGTTCCTTACTTCAGAAGATAGAATGTGACTCCTTTGCTTTCACCTAAAATTGGTGAGACTCAGTCACTTCTAAAGACAGGCCATGTAAAGGGAAAAACTGACACTGTAGTGGAGAAGCCTCTGCCAAATACCACCTCATCCAGCTGATGAATGGTAGTCCCGTCATTGATGTGCTCCTTGACATGTGTGAGAACTATAGCCATCTCTGTGATGTTCCTTCAGAAATATATGACACTGTAGGATGCAGATAGAATTGATCTTTTAAGAGAAAATATTAGGTAGTTTTGACAAAATATTTGAACAGTTTTTGTGCAGTGTTCTAGGTGGACAGATGAACTGTGGTGAATTAACTTGCTGTCATTAGGGGAAATCAGGCTAAGGGGGAGATAGGCACTCTATACCATCTTTCAACTTTTCCATCAACATCAAGTTATTCCAGAAACAAAGTTTAAATTTTTTGTTTATTTAAGAACAAGAAGCTTTTTGGCCTTGTTGTTGTTGTTGTTGTTTGTTTTGAGGCAAAGTTTTCATGAGTAGTCTTGGCTGGCTTGGAAATCACTATACAGACTAGGCTAGCTTCCAGCTCCCTGGTGCCTCCCGAGTGCTTGAATTAAAGGCATGCCCCAGTACATCTGCCTGGCTGCCTTTCTTGATTTTTGAAATTCAGTATTGTGAAGAATAGAAACTGTTTTAGTATCAACCAGACATTCTAGTCAACATGTCTCATTTTAATCTTTCTCATAAAATGGATTAATATATAATGATATCAGTTTTGCATTTACAATGAGTTCTATTCACAAACTATAGCTCATTTATATGTAAAATTTAATGGTCTTTGAAATGCCACATTGCTATGTGAAACTTGGAAACTGTAGACTAAGGTTAATGAGGTACAAACAAATAGCTATTCTGAAGGGGGGAAGTTAATCACTTAGATTATTTTGAAAATCCGAGTTGTGATTACTTGGGAGATTATGATTTGGAAAGTTCTTGTGTTGATACTGTTTTAGATCAAAATACAGCATTTCTGGAACTTAAATTTTAATAGTATTATCAGTTAAAACAGCAGATAAAATTAATCTACTAGAATAAAGGAATACTTCAGAGCAATTAAAAGTGCAGTCTTTATTTGTATTCTCTATGAACAATGAATCTGAGTAAGTTTCACATCATTTCCCATCACTTCTTTTCTAGATTTGCTGTCTAGGATCAATTTGGATGAACTCATGAAGAAGGATGAACCACCTTTTGATTTCCCTGATACACTGGAAGGATTTGAATATGCTTTCAATGAAAGTAAGTGCTATACATTATACATGGTGTTTATGGAATCATAGGAAATACATTAGTTATTCACCAATATCTAACTAGAATATTTTGCAGGATTTTTGGGAGATAATGACCTATCTTCGCATAGTGACGTCCTTCACTCCAGTGAAAGAATCAGGGAACACTTTTCTCTAGTTGGCAAGTCACATAAATTAATAGACATAGATTTGACTTAGTTTATACATTTCAACTTTGACCATTCCAACCCAATATCTAACTGGAAACTCCTAATTTAATTATATAGAAAGGCTGTTCTTTAACCTGTTGTTTCAGATGACCGAAGTCATTATGTGTGGCAATATTTTAAAGTAGAGTACCCAGTGTCCCATCATTTTTCAGGAAAATATTAGTTTAAAATCTTTTTTACGTTTGGGATTTAAAAACCTTTATTCCTGAGTTGTTGGAAAGGGAATCATACCCCACCTATATGGTTGTATTGGGAGGCTTTTGCAGTTATGGGCAGGTAGCATGAAGTTGTCATTTCCATCTGTCTCTAAATTGGTGACCACTCATCGTGTGCTAGTGCACCCCCCTTAGAGTGTCCTCCTTACACTTAGAGGTGTAGGGACTCCTTCTGTCCTTGTGTACTTGAATGCTCAATGAGTTTCAAGAGAAGACAGTAGAAACGTTGATCACTTTTCAGATAGGAGTTTTATAAAGAATGTTTTATGACAAAGCATGTATCAATAGTAATATTTTGTTGCCTGCTGGCTTGTGGGCTGCTTTCCTTCTGATTAATAGACTCTTCCTGCTGAAAGCAAAGGGCAGAGGGTCCACTTTTTTCATTGTAGATAGACTGATGATTAAACATTTTAGTAAACAGAGACTAATGTTTTCCATGAGGGGAGTTTTCATGGAATACTATGATTTAGATGGTTGATATTGTTTGATACATGTGGCATGTTTCCATGAAGACTGTCACATAGCACTATAGTTCTTTAACACACAGAAAGGGAATATTATTACCAAACGCCTCCTGGTGTGTGCCTCATTTAGACCTTACTTGTTCTGGGTCAGCTGATCCAGTCCAATGAGAGAGAAATGTAGGTAGAGGGTTAGCCGGTGCATCCCAGGCTCTCCCTGCTTTATCTACTGCAGCTTGACTGTAGGTCCTGGAACTGTTAATATAGCATATTAACCTTTGACAGGGAAGCCCAGTGATTTGAGTGAGTCTGGTGTTTCTCCTCTTCTTCAGTCTCTGTTGATAAATTATCTTAGGACCAAGTAGAAAACGGTTACTCAACTCTCTGAACCCCATTCTACCCTCTAGGTAACCCTGCAGTGCATTCTTATGTCCCCACATCATTCTACACCTCATTGTCCATATGCATCACAGATGGCAGCTTCACAACATTGACTTTCTTTGACTCTTGTCTCACTTTCCGAAAAGTTGCATAGATTTTCAATATGAGTACTCCCAGATGGTCTCTAAACTTCATTAAGACTGTGGCCATGCTTTTGCTGTTATCTGGCAGCAGTTCTTATCCATAGTGGCCTTTAGTAGTGTCAGTTTGCTTTATAATAAGGCATTATTTATTATAAGTTCCATATTATCTAAAATACATTCTAAATCATTGGAATATTGCTTGTTGTCTTTTAGAGGGGCAGTTAAGACACATAAAAACTGGGGAACCGTTTGTTTTTAACTACCGAGAAGACTTACACAGGTGGAACCAGAAAAGATACGAAGCTCTGGGAGAGGTATGTCAAGGATATTGCTGTTTTGCATTTTCCAATTTGAAGGATTTCTGTAGGGCTGGATTTCTGGCCATGTATTGTTTAAAGTTGGTTTTGTCATGGAGTATCTTGTTTTCTCCAACTATAGTGATTAAAAGTTTTGCTGGGTATAGTAGTCTGGGCTGGCATCTGTGGTCTCTTAGTGTTTGTAGAACATCTATCCAGGAGGTACCCCATAGATACTGTTTTACTGCATTTTCCAAACTGAAGTACCAGGAATAATGGTTTGAAAGATGCAGTTTACATACTACTTTTATGGAAACGGATTTTTAAAATGCTTTTTATTCTTTGTATTTGGTAATTTTCACTCATTTACTAGAAGCATTTCTTAATATGAAGGCTGATTTTATACTGACATATCACATGACTGGTATTTTCTAGTAAGTCATTTACATGAGCAAACAAATTCACACCATATTTTACCCTTTTGGGGGTATTATTTTTAAAAGGTTGCATCTTCTACTGTGCCAGGAAAATGAGCATTACTTTTAAGTCTTTATTAATGTGATCATTGTTATTAGAATAGTTAGATTGAATCTCTCTTCTTTCCCTTTGGCTTGGTAACGTATTTGGTCTTCTAAAATTGGGTGTCTTACATGGTCTCACAAGAAGAAACCTTTAATAGTGCCATTTGTCATTTTGGTGAATGTTTATCAGAGCTAAGTATTTCATTCATTCAATATATTTTTAGGCTAACCTCAAATGCACAGCCGTAGCCCAGGTTGGCCTTGAATTTGGAATCTTCCTCCTCAGCCTCAGCCTCCCTAGTACTTGTATAACAATTATGCCTGACCAAACTTGGCACAGATCTGTATTTTTTTTAACCTTCTGATTCCTTTTGCTCAAAACTGTATCCTTCATCTGTATCAAATCAGCCTAATGGGCAGGCAAAGCGATGCATCAGCAGGTGAAGGTGCTTGCTGCCCATCCTGATGGTGAGTCTGATCCTCAGAACCCACATGGTGGAATGAGACAATGAACTCCTTCAACTTGTTCTCTGACTTCTACACACTCTTGCAGCATACTTACCTCCACTGGACTAAATAAACAAACAAATAAATAATATGCAAATAGATGTAATACAAAAACTTCACTAGTATAGCTTCTTTTCTCCTAAGTGGTCACAAAACACAGCATTTCATTTTTTTAAATGCATTTCTTTAAGATTTTTTGAAATTAAAGCATTTGTTTTGTCTCTTCCTTTCCCCCTCTCCACTGTTTCCCATGTATTCCCTCTTGCTCTTTCTCAAATTCATAGCCCCTGTTTCTTCAATTGTTGTTACATTTATATACATATATGTTCTCAAATGTGTGAATACTGGCTAACATGTAAGATTTCTTATATCAGTATTTCTTTTTTTTGAGACAGGGTTTCTCTGTGACTTTGGAGGCTGTTCTGGAACTCACAGAGATCCGCTTGCCTCTGCCTCCCGAGTGCTGGGATTAAAGGCGTGAACCACCATCGCCCGGCTTTATATCAGTATTTCTTAAGCCAGTATTTCATAGATCATCAAATCACTGGGCTTCACATACTGATACATTTTATTTCCTAGTATGTTGACTGAAAGTAGACATAGCTTGCTTACATACATAGAATTCAGTATAACAGAAACCCTGGAATGGGAAAGGGAAAGTTTTCTCATTACAGGTTATGTTCCATGCCACCTTACCTTTTGGCTTCATGTTTGGAATACTTGTTTCATTGATAATTTGCTATAGAAGATTACTAACTTAATCCCATTTCCTGTATTTAAGTAATGAATTTTAAAAGGTTTCCTTATATATCAATGGTGACACAATGGTCACTGTAGTAAATGAGTTTGTTTGGAGTAATTGTAGAACCCAATGTATCTATAGACCCACTTTTCACTAATTAATTTCATTTCTGAATCAGCCTTCAAATTCAGTGTAATAAACTTCTTCATTCAGACCTTGTTTTTTGTATCTTAAGTTGTTTTGCTCCTCCCTTACCACAGACCTGTTTCTGATGTCTTCCTGGACTGTCTTCACTGCCCTTCCGTTGGAGTCTTTCTTCCCTTTCATGCTTTCCATCTGATTCTTCCTTTCCTCTTCTCCTGTTTTATGTAAAAATGATCTAAGGACACTTTAAGTTAAATGCTGTTCAGCACAATTTAAATTAAATAAAAATAAAGCCATGGAGAGTTGTGCTGGTGACATGATTCCTGTGAGTCTGACTACCTGGTGGGAAGAGAGAGCTGACTTGTCCAAGTCCTTCCTCCTATAGTAGTTCAGCACTTTATTTATTTTGCTAAATTGATTATTTATTTTAAAGATTAAATTGTTTTAATTGTATGTATATGGTCATTTTCAGTATATGGATGTATGTGTACTATGTAATGTCTGTCTATAGAGGCCCAAAAAGGACTTTGTTTTATTTTGAACTCGAGTTCGAGACAGTTGTTGGGTACCATGTGAATGCTGGAAACTGAACCTGGGTCCTGTGGTGATATTTTGTTTATGATATAACAAATAAAACTTGCCTGAAGATCAGAGTGCTGAGCTAAACCACTAGTTAGCCATAGAGGCCATGCAGTGGTGGCATACACCTTTAACCCCAGAACTAGGGAGGTTGAGACAGGAAGGGATATGGCTGGGCAGAGAAAATAACCTAAGGTGGAGGAGACAGGATCTCAGGGCATTCTGAGAATTCATAGAGGTGGGGCATTTTAAGCAGTCCTAGTCTGAAGATGCAGCCTGAGGACAGAATTGCCCCTGTGGTCTGAGCATTGGTAGAGCTAAGAACTCTAGTGACTGACTGCTCTGCTTCTCTGACTGATCCTTCAGCTTTCACCCCTGGATAGTTGACTCCTAGTTTTTATTAAGACCAGTTAGAATTCTTGCTACATCTAGTGCCCAACTTTTGGGGTATGAATTCACAAAAAAAACCTGGAGCTACATGCAGCTGGAGCCACCACCCTACTGGTTAGGTTTTCCTTTCTTCTCCTTTGGTGGGTTTTCCCTGGATCCCTTTCTTGGGCTGCTGCCAAACTAGGGAGCTACCTTGAAATCCAGTCAGGCTTTTACTGTTCTATGCAGCAGTCAGCCTCATGTCTTCATCATCATTGTTGGCAGATTCAGTGAGAAAACTGGGAATTCTTTTTTTTTTTCGAGACGGTTTCTCCGTGTAGCTTTGGAGCCTATCCTGGCACTCGTTCTGGAGACCAGGCTGGCCTTGAACTCACAGAGATCCACCTGCCTCTGCCTCCCGAGTGCTGGGATTAAAGGCGTGCACCACCAACGCCCAGCAAACTGGGAATTCTTAAAGGGAGGAATTAGTTAAAAGAGGTTTTTTGTTTTTGTACTATGTTAAAAAATGGGAAACACAATGTCAATAGAGAAATTTCTATCTCTGTGTGATTATGCAATGTATGATCTAAAAATGGAACAATTAAATGAAGAGATAATCAACTTAACCAGGATTGATAGAATGTTAATTATCATTCTTATAGTCCCTGTTGTTGTTTTGGTAAGTCTTGGTTTATCTCTAGAAAATTATTAGATATGAGTGCCAAGATATACGGCTTAGAAAAACGTAATAAAACAGATGGATAGAGATATTCAAGCCCAGACAGAGGAATTTAAAGGAGAACTAATTTCAGAATTGCATTATAAGTTTAGAGAGGAGCAGCCTAAGGTTTTCAAACAACCAACCTTATTATATCCAGTAACCTTACAGGAATTGCTGAATGATAGAGGCTCTGAAAGAGCTGATTGGACTCCTGTGGCAATGTTAGACTTAAGGAGATATAAGGGCCAGGCATTGGTGGCGCACGCCTTTAATCCCAGCACTCGGGAGGCAGAGGCAGGCAGATCTCTGTGAGTTCGAGGCCAGTCCAGATCATGTGCCAGGATAGGCTCCAAAGCTGCACAGAGAAATCCTGTCTCAAAAAACAAAAATAAACAAAACAAAAAAAGGAGATATAAGGAAGCCATAGTCTCCTATGGCATGCTTTCACCATTTATAAAGCAGATGTTAAACTAGTGGTCAACTTGTAATAGAATTATCCTGAAAGACTGGAGAGCCTAGTCATCAGTTACAATGAAGGAACTGGTGGAAAGAAAAGGCCAAGACCATTGAACAATAGAGTAGAGCTAGAGGTATGGAGATCTCCCAAGGTCGACTTCTTGGAGAAGGAGATTATGCTAATACAGAAAGCAATCCCTATATGATGGTCACAACCTGGCTTTATGCCATGCAGCAGCTTTGAATGCTTGGGCAGAATTGAAGAAGTAGGAAAGAAGATTTAGTCTTCTAAAAACTGTGCTGTTTCTTTGACTATTGCTGAACACTGTGTACCGTTACATGCATTTTTAAAACTGAATAAATGTAACTTAGCTTTCCAAATTATTATTCTGTTGTTTTGCCCTGGATCTTGCTTTGTTTTTGAGTGTTTGAGTCTATCACCAGGGTGTAAAGCTCAGTCCAGAGCTGTTCTGTTCCTATGCTGCCTGTGGTCAATATTCTTTCTGAGATATACACTCCTTCTTGTTTATTTCTCAGAGGGTACAAGCTGTGTGTCCTAGTCAGGGCTCTATTGCTGTGGTGAAACACTATGACCACCGAAACTTGGAGAGGAAAGAGTTTATTTGTCTTACATCACAATTCATCATTGAGGTCAAGACAGGGACTAAAACATGGCAGGAATTTGGAGGCAGGCACTGTTGTAGAGGACATGGAGGAGTGCAGCTTACATGGTTTGCTCAGCCCAGTGATGGCTGTACCCACAATGGGCTGAGCCCTCCCCCATTAACTACTAACTAAAAAAAGGTCCTACAGCCAGATCTTGTGAAAGCATTTTCTCATTGAGGTTCCCTCCTTTCAGATGACTAGCTGTATAAAATTGACATAAAACCAGCCAGCATGGTTTATGTGTTAATGATCAGTCCTTACTGCTGGCTGTAGCTCCACCTTATATAGATAGGTTATCGCTTGAGTGACAGCA